TTGGCCTGAATTATAACTATCTTGGCCAACATTAAGTGCAAAAAAGGGGTGCTTATTTTCGGAGGAATACGGTATATAAATTTATATATTAAGATAGCAGATAGTGTCACATACATAAAATATATTAAACCGGTTGATATGTTGACATTAATTATTATATTTTTCCTTTTTTTCATCACAATAAATGCGTAAGCAATTATTACTTTTTTTTTTATTTAAATATCACAATATACGGTGACATAATTTATATTTACATTCATAGCAAAAATGATGATTACAATGTTTGATATAGTTTTAAATTTTTTCGGATTTATATTGAATACTTTTTTTCGTGAAATCAAATCACGAGGTTCACATAATATTCCAAAAGAAGGGCCTGTTATTTTTATCGGTGCACCCCACGCAAATGCAGTATGTAATATTATTGATCATTATATATTGGATAACTCGTAAATTCATTATGAATTTATTAAGTTTTATTTTAATAATAGTTTGTTGATGGTTTGCTCTTGATGAAATATAGCAAACGACAAGTTTTTTTAATGATTGCACAAAATGCTATTAACTATGGGCATTATGTCGACATTTTAGCTCGTGCGATTCGTGCAAGTAGGTAATTAAACAATAATCTTTACATGTTAATCAATCGCGGTAAAGTAAATAGTCATACTTTCCTTTCATTAGTCATATTAAAGAGGCCAAAAGATTTGGCTGAATCAGGGAAAGGAAAAATCTTTTTAGATGAAAGTAAAGCGGATTCTCTTCGTATAAATGGCATTAATACAGAGTTTACAAACCAATTAAAAGTTGGGTATCAAATTTCTTTACCGAGAGAATATGGGTCATCTGAAATAACTGAAATAATATCAGACACAGAACTTGTTATTAAAAAAGAATTTAAAGAACCAAAAGCTTTAGAAGTTTTGACGCAACCTGGTGGAACACCTTATACATGCATGCCATATGTTGATCAAAGCAATCTTTATGAAACAGTGCTTGAGATGTTGAATGCTGGAAAATGTATTGGTGTATTCCCGGAAGGAAGAAGCCATGATCGATCTGAACTTATACCTTTGAAAGGTTATTACAGCATTTCCAAACTACGCTTATTTAAGTTATTGATGCATTTTATTGATAGATATTTGTTATTGTTAGTTGGAATAGCTTTTATGGCTTTAGGTGCTATGGCGGCAAATCTTGGATTGGACATTAAAATTGTGCCCTGCGGTTTGTTAAACGATTATCATATAGAAATTACACAATAAAGAAAAAAAAAAAAGCTTGTCTATCTAATATTATTCACGTCCTACTACTGTATTATAGGTTTGAACTATTTCCAAGCACATAAATTTCGTTCACGAGCTGTTATCGAATTTGGTTCACCCATTTCAATCCCATCTGAATTAGTTGAAAAATATAATATGAATGGTTCTGACAGAAGAGAAGCATGTAATAAATTAATGGAAATTATTTACGAAAGATTGAAATTGATAGCAGTCATTGCACCAGATTATGAGACATTATCTGTATGTTTTATATTTCTTAACAAAATATTCAATAATAAATTATATAATATTATTTATTTATTAGGTTATTCGGGCGGTTCGTCGTTTATGTAGACCAGAAAATCGCAAGCTTGAAATTGATGAAATGATAGATTTAGATAGAAGATTAATTAATGGTTACATGAAATTCAAAAATGATTCAAATGTCCAAGGAATATATAAAAAAGTGAAAGAATATGATCAATTATTGAAGTATAATAGATTAAAAGATTATCAAGTTCATAAAACTACTACAGTAAAGTTTAGAGCTTTGGCATCGTTATTATATTGCACTTTTATTTTAATTTTATGTATTATTCTGGCTCTTCCCGGGTAAATATAGAAAATGATATTCATATTATTGCTTGAATTTGGTGTTTATTTAAATAACTTTCTTTTTAAACCACCTATATGTAGGTTAATATTGAATCTTCCTCTGATAGTGGAAGCGCGCATTGTTAGTGCCAAAAAAGCAAAAGGTTTGGCAGATTAATTTCAATAACTTTTACATATTGATTTTTGCTATTCCTAATTGCAGTCTACCCTTACAGCGGCCCTCAAAGGGTCATATATTATGATTAGTGGGCGTCATGTAATAGCGACATGGAAAATCCTTGTTTCTTTTAAAGTCATACCAATTTCATATGGAATATATACTCTAATATCATTATCTTTAGCCTACAAATACAATTGGGGATTTATAATGAACTTTGGCTTATTTTCACCAATCATCATTCTCATAATGTTGTTTATGAATAGTTATGTAACAATTCGATTGTTTGACATTGGGACTGACTTGTACAGGTAAGCTATAAGTTCATATACTTATTATACAATATATTTTTTTTTTACACGCTATTAATGATTCCTTGTTATTTAATATTTATTCATAGATCCCTTTATTCACTTATTTTAACACTCTCACAATCCACGATCAAAGATTTGCGAAAAATTCGAAACGAACTTTCATATGAAATAATTGAAATAATTAATGAGATTGGTCCAAAAATATATCCAGATTTTGACAACGAATGTATTATTCAACAATTAAAAGAGATTAAATCAAAAGTTAGTAAATGAAAATATAAAAAAAATAAAAAATAAAAAAATAAAGATAATAAATAAATATAAAATAAATAAATAAGAGGGTTTATTTAAAATGTGCACCTGCACAGTTGTATACTTTTTAGAGTATTCTCAAACTTTTACTAAGATAACCCCTAACAAAAAATGCTTCTCTTGCGAAGTTACCTTAGATTTTAATTTTAAATTAATCCTAACCCTAACCCTAACCTAACCTTCTAATCCTAACCCTAATCCTATTATTGTTTGTATTTGTTACTATAGGGTGCACAGCTGTGCAGGATGCACAAAATTAACAACCCCTAAATAAAAATAAAAATTAACTTGCTTAATACTATATAGTTATTGCATACGAAGTATGCAATAACTGCTGTATTTTATGGACGATGATGATTGGTTGGTAACCC